TATATATATATATATATATATATATATATATATATATATATATATATATATAAAGGTAGATATAATGACAAAGTTTGGCTGAGCAAAGAAAATATTGTTTGGTACCAAAATTAAACATTTACATGTGCAATAACATTAATTGCTGGACCAATACTGTCTTCTTCTTCATTTCATTCCACTGTGCAAAGAAATAAATTTTGGCTAGTTGGCTAAAAATTGAAATTTTTTCTAGTGAAAAGAAAGAAAAAAAAATCATTAGGCCAAATATTTTTGAGTAAAAAAAAGAAGACTGGCCCTAGTGTATAACAAACGTATAATAACAAGAATAATCATTGTATAATGTATACCTCATGCAATCTGTTTCTACAGCAATAGAATTAAGATGAGAAGAGTAAAGATAAACAATTTTCACATATATGAGTAACACACAAAAATGGGACTCAAAAATACACATTTTTACCTCTTAACATTCAAACAACAATAGAATATTTAACATTAAAAATTGAAAAAGGAAGAATAAGATGAATAAAGAGCATCACACATTTTGGAAAAAAAAACACAAGATCCAGGATATCAAACATTTGTTTCCTGTATCAGACTGCACCAAAAAAAGTTCTACGAATAGAAGACCAAAAGGGTTAGAAAAACTATTTGCAGGTGAATCATAGAGCTTGCTTCACTGGATGGGATTATATTATACATGGAAAATCAAAATTATTACAAATTTCCCGAACGAATCTTGGGAAGGTGCATCTTCTTCTCTTCTGCAATGCCTCCAAACCGGAGCCTCCATCTGTTATATGTTGGAGCTAAGAGAGGTAGTTGACATCGATACTGAGTTTGGTTCATCTCGTCCAATTTTACCAAGAAATGACCTGTAATGAGAATTTGGAAATCAGTGAAATTAACTGACCATCTTATGAATAAAATTCCATAAGCACTGCTTAAAGAAGCAAAAGATAGCCAAGAAGCACAATGATTGATCTAAAAGAGAACAATAAACATCACACTGACTCAACTATGACACATACTTCATACTACAACTGCCCAATTAACTAGAACCAAAATCAATTATAGTTGATTGCTCGTTAAAAGTGTAGGTAACCAGTTAGTTACACATCTAATAAGAGTATACTGACTGTATTCCAAAAATAGTGTAAACCATGATCTTTGATGCCTACAGCATTGACTGAATGCATTAAAGAAAGCAAGTCATTTACACCAACAATAAGGAAACAGGGAAATGGAAGATAAAGGAATTTTCTTGCAGAAGAAACTTCAAGGGACTTTAATTAGGTTAATATGTCAATGAATTAGACAGCGCTAGATCCAACTGCTGACATTCTCTAAAATGCTGATCATAACTTGATTTTGGTGAATTATAACAGACCACCTTTTACTTGTATCAGATGGTCAAAACGGGCAGAAGCAGGCTCTAAGTTCACCTTTGGAAATTTTACCTAATTATTGGAATTAGTTCGAATGGATTGTGATAGTTTTTTAAATGAGATGTTAACCCACTATTTCTAATGATATACTATCGAAGAATAGTTTTGTCTTATAATATTCTGACCACTATTTTATTTCTTCCTAAAGGATATAGAAAGAACTGAGAAAAGGAGTTTGGCAAAGGATAGTAACTAAAAATGCTATCCCTTTGACCTCCACACTTGCAATAAATGGTAGGTTGGTTAAATAATTGCTAAATAAAACACGCATACCACTTGGATTGAAAGTTGCCTGTTGCATATAGGTTTACCTTAGTTTTTGCTGGAGTTGCATTTTTGGTCGTAGTAGTGCTCCCAAATCCAAACTTAGGCTTCTTCTCTGCAGGCTTTAATATCTGAAAAGAACACATCAGAGTCTCATCCACACTCATCATAGCACCAGCATTATCAAATTCGCCACAATAATTAGGAGCTGAAAAAATTGTCACAAGTTGTCTATCAGCAAAAAACTCGTATCCATCTTCCACAACCTGCAGTTATGCACATACCCAGTAAGATTAAAGAAACAAAGTTACAAAAATTATAAGTTATATCTAGTCCAGACCTGGTGGGCACGACAAATAAGATCAAGATCTAGCTTCTGGAGAAACTCTGTCACCTTATCAGGGCCAAAGGTGTGAGAAACTCCACGGTCATTCATTCCCCACCCTTTAACATCTTTACTAGGATCAGACCAGAGAAGATCACAGAGTAACCCGCTCTCTGGAACATCAGTTGGTCGTTGAAGGTTCCTTATCTGATCCAAATGCTGAAGATCAGGAGAGAGTCCACCATGCATACACAAAATCTTTTCATCAATCAGAGCTGCCACAGGGAGGCAGTTAAAAGAGTCTGTAAATACTTTCCACAGTCGAACATTGAACCTTCGTTTGCACTCATCATAGAATCCATATATACGATTCACAGACGCACATTCATGGTTTCCCCTCAGAAGGAAAAAGTTTTCAGGATACTTTATTTTATATGCAAGAAGAAGACATATTGTTTCCAGACTTTGCTTCCCCCGATCAACATAATCACCCAAGAATAGGTAATTGGATTTTGGAGGTAATCCACCATATTCAAACAGCCTCAGTAGATCTGAGTACTGACCATGGATATCCCCTGATCACATATTGCAAATAAAATATTAGCTAAACACAAATGTAGAACAAACATACATGCCCCGCCAACCCCCCCTTCTTCTTTTTTTTTGGAGGGGTGGGGGGGCTGAGAAACAGTGGTCAGGATGCATGCTCAACATCCAACAGCAGTCTAAGCTCTTTGACAGTTCTTTCAGTCATAAAATGAAACCTCACAGATTGAAACTGGATAGCATCATTACTGGTACGCTGGTGACGGTAGAAATTGATCGACAACAGGTCAAATTACACAAAGAACATCAAAACTAGACCACTTCAGTAAAAATCTCACAGATCTAAATGCAATTAAAACAGATCCAATTATCAGTTACTCTTTCTATATCTGTAAATATTAGCCCTTCTCCGCACCAGAAAGGTTTCATTTTATAGAAATGCCACTATTATCTATGAAATAGAGGATATGAGTTATAACTTATCAGTATGGAAGCATTATTGTTTGCAGCCAAAATAAATTAGATTCTAATACAGAGTGGATGAATCAACCACTGAGAAAATTGTTGAGTTCAGTGTCTTTTCTATAGCTCTTGCCTCTTGGTGTGAATTGAACTTGTGTAAGACGAGTCCATAAGTTCAAATGAAGATGATAAAAAGAGAAATGGACAACAAAATACCCTTATGTTTTGTCCTTTGAAAACCCACTTCCATCTGGTTTAGAAAATTTACCAGCTCATTCAGTTTTATAAACTACTTGAAGAAAAAAACAGGTGTCTTTCAAAGCAATGATTGGTTCCCTCTGTAGTTACTCTTAAGTATGTGTATCTTTCAAGAGAACATACATGTCATGGATTAAGGTGCTACTAATAGAATGAATACTGGAGCATACATCATTACCCACCCAAACCAGCTTAGACTCAATTAGTTCACCCAACTAACTGAAAGGGTAAATATATTGTGTATTCTAACCATCACCAACAATCATTTTACCAAGTTCACAGATAACATTTACTTGTTGTACTTGTACATCTCTTCTTAAATATCATGAAGTGAATGCTGCAGAAAAAGTGCACTCCAAATTTAGTTTCATATCTTATACTTGCACTTTCAGCAGGAAGGCAGGGCTAAAAGATTATAAGTCATTAGTGTAGGTACATCTCCCAAACATTGAGGAGAAAAGAGAGTGAGAAAGCATATAGCATTAGCCTCGATTGAAGAATCTGAACATGCAAGTTTAGTTGGAAACAGGAAACATAACAAATGTATAAACATATCATGTTACACAGTTGTTTAGACAACATATCACCCAAGATCAATGGCAATTTTCATGTTGACCAAGTGAATCCATGGTAACTGTACTTAGGAAACTACGACAATCTGATTAGTTAAGGAACTCATAACTGGCAAATGAGTAACACCAAACGGAAGAAAAAGAGAAGTTTGAAATGGAAAGTAGGGGAAACCAAAAGCTCAAGATATATAAGAGAATCAAGATTTTTTTATAAGATTATGCATTGCAGAAAACAAAGCCACAAACAATTTGACCTGAATGATTATGTAAGGTTCATCGCTTTATGCTCGACGAGAAACCTTAGGGTAGATACAGAGCCCGTTTGGATTGGCTTAAAAAAGTAATTTTTAAGTCAAAATAAAAAGTCAAACTTAAATGACTTTTAAGTCAAAAAATAAAAAGTAGGGGAGACCTACTTTTGTTTTTTGATTTAGTGCAAGTCATTTTTGACCTTGCCAACCACTTCCTAACTTATTTTTAAGTCGTTTTGACTTATTTATTATTTATTATATTTTTCAAACACTTTCAGAAGTCAAACTGACTTAAAAGTAGGTTTAACCAACTCTTAAGCAAATGCAAACACCCTCTTAGTACCTGAAAGACCGGTAACTAGGATAACTAATTACACCAGCTTTCCCACTGATATCTATTTCAGAAGTTACAGATTTCTCTTTCCTTCTAGGTGGCCCAAAGATAAAAAATAACTGGAATCATGGATAACTGCCCAAAAAAGATTGTATTAGATACCAAAAAACATACTATAGCAGAAACCACTAGGAACTGAAATTATTATATAACTTCATTCATTACATGGCTGCACACTGATCTCTCTCTCTCTCTCCGACTCTCTTTTAAAGTTAGTTCCTACAAACTTATATGGTGAGGACCATCGCATGAAGAAGGCGATCGCAAGTACAGAAATTCTAGGTATCACCTTAATGTGTCGGTTTATAAGCAAAGATTTAACTGGTCATGAATACCATAGTCCTTCATCTGTCAACTTCATATTAATAATGATTGTGGAATCCATACACAACTGTGTACGTCCTACATATATTCCAGACACTAATATGTTCATCAGTTAAAAGTGTTAAATCACATGACGGAGGATAGGACATGGTAAAGGCACTCTACTTACAATACACCTAATACTATTCATCTATCTAAGAAAAAAGTCACCTAATAATATCCATAACCTTTCCTACATTTCTGCACAAACCTCTGTTTTTTGGGGTAGGGCATGGGAAGGAGGTATCCCACGAGGCAGTGAGAAGGACTTATCAGAAAAAGGAAAGAAGTGAATGCAAATTCAACAATAGCTAACCTAACTTTAGTTTGTGCAAAGCTGCCTAACATCAATTTAAATCAAATCTTAGGCATCAATAAGAGGTAGGGGTAAGTTTCCTAGTTCCGTTAGTACGTAAAAGAGGGAAATAGTTAGGCAAGTAATTTTGAAGTATTCCCCTTCCAAATCAGGTCTCGCGCTTGGACCAGACATTATGCGAATGAGAGACGAATACACTGGCATAGGTTGATTCTCAGAGGGAAGAGAAGAAAACTATGAATTCAGCAAAGGCTACAAAGAATAATTAGCAACACATTACAAACTGTCCCAGTAAAAATATAGTAGTTATTATTCACATAAAAAAGTAAAGGACTTAAAAATAGTAGTTATTATTCACAGATAAGGCTTACATCCTACTATTATCACAGATAAGGGTTGAGAGCTCAACTATCAAATACTACTAGTAGGGTAGGGCTAATTCAAGTCAATTCCTACCTCCTACCTGCACCTGAAACTACATTAAAAACTCTATCCACACTAGGCAGCTGATAACAGCCTTCAAAACTAATTATAAACAAAATCATAATCCTTACAATTTGTTTATCAAACAGTGGATGATGAAAAATCATTTTGTAATCGTGCAACCAGTTGTTCACCAGCCCTAATTGATGTAACCCTAACAAAGACCAAATCAGTACTTAACAACTAAACGATCACATCAACAAAACCCACTTCATGAACCCAGATGGAATCAAAGCTAATAAACTAAACAACTGAATTTTTTTTTTTTAAAAAAAAACTTACCGCAGATCTTGATGGGTGCATCAAGCTCAAGAAGATTCGGCTGCTTCAAGAAAATTTCTCTCGACTTGAGACATAGCTGTCTGATTTCTGCCTCAGAAAGTTGTACTTGTTTACCAGGTCTCCCACGAACTTCAAGCAAACGATGGATTATATCATCAAGTGCTAAAATATCCATAGTTGTTGCTCTGCATATAAGCAAAGAAGCTGTAGAGAGAAAGAGAGAGATGACTCGTTTTGTTTGAGAAAAGAGGGGGTAGGGCAACGTCTCTACAAAAAAATTAATTGTTCACACGCGGTTGTATCATCAAAATGAATACACACGCTCTTTTTTTTTCTTTCTTTTTTTAAATTAATTGTGGTGTCGAGATTAATTTTGGCATGTTGGATTATATTTTTTTAAACATAAGGTTTGTCATTTAATTTATTATATCAATCAATTATTAGCTATGATAAAAAGTTAATACTCTTCGCGTCTCTTATGACTTTGAGATTCAAATAAATATATTTTTTACGGTAAGTTTTTCATAAATATTTTGAATAATCAATTGTTGTGATTTATATTTTTTTTTACGTAGTTTATAAATATATAAATTTCATTGCAAAATTTTTAAAGATTTTATGCGTAAATTTTTGGATAAACTTAAATTGTTTGACTCTCGAAAAATGGAAAATGTCTCATAAATTGGAATAGAGAGAGTGGTAGATATAGTTGAGTCTTATCTAAAAAAAATGATTTTCCATTTGTGTTTGAAGCTCAAGTTGAGGTCCCGACTAAAATTGAATCAGGTGCGATTCATTTGGAATAACGCTTCCAACACGATTTTCTTCATATCAAAAGTTCAAACTTGAGACCTCTATTTAAGGAAGAAGCGATCCTTAGAGATGTCAATGGGGCGGGTAATGGGGGCCGGACGAATAATTGAACTTAACCCACCAAATTTTTAACCCGTCTTGTAGTCACCCAACCAATTGTCATCCTCAGCAATCTCTAAACCCTTTGACTACAAATTTAAATGGATAACTTACCAAATCTTAACAGGCAGGATCGGAGGAGCTGAGAGATCATCAAGAATACGAACTAACCAAGTAAGTTCGGTTGTAACCCTTCGCATGGATCTGTACTCCGTTTCAGCTGAAGACAACGAAGTTGATGCTTGTTTCTTGTATTTCCAGGAAATGGGTGCTCCTCCAAGTGTAATGAAATAACCACTGACAGATCTGCGAGAATCAGTGCAAGAGGCCTAGTCCGCATCACAAAAAGCCAGTAAATCATATGAAGGACTGGAAGAAAGAAGAATCCCTTGCCCTAGATCATTGTTAAGGTATCGCAAAACCCTCATAGCTGCTGATAAATGTGATTGTCGAGGCTACTGCATGTACTGACTTAAAGTTAAAAGGGCAAAGCACAAAGCAAATCTAGTATGAGTTAAATAGTTCAATTTCCCAACCAGATGTCTGTAAACCGTTGAATTAGGCAATAAAGGGCCTTCATTTGCACAAAGCTTGGAATAAGGATCAAGTGGAGAAGACACCTTCATACCGAAACAATCAAACTCCTTCAACAGGTCTAGGGTGAACTTCCTCTGACATATAATAAAGCCTTGTTTTCCCTTAGAATTTCCAATCCTAGGATATAATGGATATCCCCCAAGTCCTTAACTTTAAATTCACTATGAAGAAAATCACTAATAGCATGTATCTCTGTATGAGCATCACCTGTAATTAAGATGTCGTCTACATAGACAACGATGATAGCAACCAAATTATGATGCTTTTTATAGAATAATGAATAATCATTCAGAGACTAGTGTATCCTTCATATGTTAAGGCCCTTGCCAGCTTAGAATATCATTGTCTAGAGGCTTGTTTCAAGCCATATAGAGATTTTCTAAGACGGCAGACAAATGTAGGATCACTAGAGGGCATTCCTGTAGGAAATTTCATGTACACTTTCTCATGGGGTCCCCATGTAGAAAAACATTGCTAACATCGAGTTGATGAACCTGGCACCCTTTTTTGATAACAATGGAAAGAAGACACCTTACAGCAGTCATCTTCACCACTGGTGAGAATGTCTCAATATAATCAACCCCTTCTCGTTGAATGTCCCCTCTTACAACCAACCTGGATTTTAATCGCTCAATGGAGCCATTTGATTTCTGCTTTGCTTTATAAACCCACTTTCATGGAAGGGGCTTTTTCCCTGGTGGAAGTGGAACCACATCCCAAGTTTTGTTAAAGGCCAGAGCATCAAGCTCTTCCTACATAGCATGTTTCCATTCTGGGTATACTGATGCTTGAGCAAAAGACTTAGGTTCTTCAATGGTAGAACTAAAAGCAAAAACATGTTGATTTGTAATGAAAGAGAACCAAAAGAGTAGGAAGTAGGATGGGTGGGGTGAATGAAACATGTACTAGTAAGATCAGTCAAAACTATACTATTGCATATGTAGTCTTTTAGATATTCAGGATTATGAGTAATCCTAGTAGACTTTCTTGGAGATGTTTAAGGAGAAGAGGAAGAAGGTGAGTTGCCAGAGACATCGGATGAAATAAAATCTGATATGGGAGTAATGGGACTGGACAAAAATAAATCTGAAGAAACAGAAGGAAATTTTTCTGAAGCAATAGATGTAGAAGGAGAGAAAAGAGGTGAGAATGAAGGTGGATTATGTGAGTCAGAAGACGAAGAGAAAGGGAAATGATTCTCATGAAAATGAACATCCCTTGAGACAAAAACTCTTTTCATTGATATTTCCAACAATTTATAGCCTTTTTGACCTGGAGGATATCCTAAAAATACACAAGCTACTGCCTTAGATTCAAATTTACCCCTGTTTTGATATAATGTGGAAGCATAGAATAAAACATCCAAAACTCCTGAGATTTTCATACTTTGGTTTGCTTCCAAATAGTACTTCATAAGGGTTTCTTGATTGCAGAACTCTAGAAGGAAGTCTATTAATCAAATGAGTGGCTATCAAAATACACTCTCCCCCAGTATGAAATAGGTAAGTTAGATTGAAACATAAGTCCTCTCGCAATTTTCAAAAGGTGTCTATGTTTTCTCTCTACTGTCCTATTTTGTTGGGGAGTTGCTACACAAGAGGTTTGATGTAGAATCCCTTGAGACTTAAGAAAAAAAGCCTCTTGAGTCCCTTTTTCCAATTCTAGAGCATCGTCAGATCTAATACACTTAACCTTTGTATTGAACTGTCTCTCAACCAAGTTGAAAAAATCTTTGAGAATAGGAAAAGCATTACTCTTGGTACTCAACAAGAAAGTCCAAGAAGACCTACTATAGTCATCAACTATGGTGAAGAAGTATTTATATTCATTGTAGGTGCAAGACTTACATGGTCCCCAAGTATCCATGTGAATTAAATCAAACACCTTTTTAGAGTATATGTGACTAATGGAAAAAGGTAATCTAGTTTGTCAAGATCCAGGACAAATATCACAAACATACTCATAATTAGAAGGAAAATGAATAAAATCAAAATTCTTTATTACTGAATAGGGTACCTTCCTTAATCTTACATGCCAAAGATCTATATTGGAAATGACATTTGCAAAGACTGGAAAAGAAACAGAACTGGACTTAGAAATAGAATTGCTTCCTTCTTTAACATAAACGATATTGTGATTGTTTAAACACTTAGACTCATGATTAGATGCCTGCAACAAATAAAGACCTGCTACTACTTCACCAAAAGCTTGAGTTTTCTTCATTAAAGGTCCTGTAAGATGCAATCACTAGGAGTAAAGAGAAGATTACATTGAAATTGACTACATAACTTATGAACAGAAATTAAGTTATATTTGAAATCAGGAACATATTGGACATTTAGCAAGGTTAGCTTAGGCATAATAGAGACAGTCCCTGCATGAGTGACAACGGGCCTACAAGAAGTGGATAGTGTTATATCAATTGGCACAGAAAGAGGAACTAAGGATATAAAAAATTTAAAATCAAAACACATATGTTCTGAAGCACCTGAATCAATGATCCAGGTGCTAGAATTGAAAACTGGAAAACATTTCCTTGAGTGTTTGAGAATTGTACCAGCAATTGCACTCGCAGTTATTCCTCCACTAGATGAATATTTTGGCATCCTTCATGACCTGTTGAACTAACTCATTGTATTGCTCTTGGATCATGTGATGATAGGAATTGTTGCTCCTTGCATTACTTTGAATGGAGAATGAGATCTCTACCTCTTCTGCCACTACCACACCATTTGCTCTTCCTTGATCTTCTTTTGATTTGGTAAACTCAAAATCATCAAGAAACCCTATCTTTCTGAAACAAACACTTCAAAATGTCCAGTTCTTCTACAGTATGTGCAACTCACATTAGGGTCATAGTTCATCCTTCTTGGTTTGTTTTTCTGAGGTCCTTTTCCATTCCTCTGTGTAGTTTGAACATATTTTTGCCGATTAGTATCTGATCCCCTGAATGTTTGGCTTCCATTCCTTGGGTAGTTTCTACCATGTGTAGTTTCCAGGAATAGAAGTGGACATAAACACCGAAAAATTAAAACATCGAATCGAATCAAATTTTTTTAATATTTTGGTTTCGGTATTTCGGTTTTCGATTCGGTATTCAGTTTACTTTTTTGTATTTTTTAGTATTTTGGTTCATTTTTTAGTACGTATTATCTTGATTTTCGGTATTTTGATTTAAACCAAAATATTATATTAAATTCATATTATATTTATATTATATTAATTAATAATTATTAATGTTAAATAATCTTTAAAAAAAATAATCTAAAACTCTATGTAATGTCCCTATTCCTAATTCAATATTCATATTTCCTCTTGCAGCTCTTCCTCTTCTCCTCTTGCAGATCTTCCTCTTCCTCTTGCAGCTCTTCCTCTTCCTTTCAGGCAACAACAACCGCCGCCCACAGCCGTCAGGTTTATTCTTGACTTCTCACTTCTTTCATTTTTTTCTGATTATTATTTTTGTTATTAGTTAGTGTGAATTTATTGTGATTTTTTTATATAGATGACTGAACAAAATCAAATTAATATGGGTGTATATGATCAAAATCGAATAAATATGGCTGGTTCTACGGATAATACACCTAGTAATAGCAATGATCCGTCAATTGGCACAGAAATAACAGAAAAAAGAAAAGAAATGAATCCTAGATCTCCTGTTTGGCAACACTTTGAAAAGGTTTTTGAAAATGGTGTATTAGTTAAACCAAAGTGCTTACATTGTAAACAATACTATGCTGTCAATACAACAAGAAATGGAACAAGTGGACTAAAACAACATTGAACTTATCGGTGCAAATTGTATAAACCTCCGACTATTGCACCTGGTATTCAAAAATTATTAAATATTCAAAGTAACAATTTAGAGACTTGGAAATTTGAGCAAGAGGTATGTAGAAGAGCTTTAGTTGAGATGATAATTTTGGATGAACTACCTTTAGTTTTGTTGAAAAAACTTTAAGAAGTTTGTGAGTAAAGTCCAACCTTTGTTTCATATTCCTTCTCGTAGAACCATAACAAGGGATTGTTATGAAGTTTATGGTGAATTGAGAATAAATTTGAAACAGTCTTTAAGAGAAATACAACCAAGAATTTGTCTCACAACAGACACATGGACTTCGGTGCAAAGAATCAATTATATGTGTATGACTGCTCACTTTATTTATAGGGATTGTGTGCTTCATAAAAGAATATTGGATTTTTATCCTATCACTAGTCATAAAGGTGAGTATTTGGCTGAGACTATTAGTAATTGTTTACTTGATTAGAAGTTAGATAATGTTTTTACTGTTACGATTGATAATGCCTCTTCAAATGATGTGGCAATTTTAGAGTTGTCCAAAAAATTAGATATGTGGGAAACTAATATGATGGAAGGTAAGCATCTCCATGTGAGATGTATGACTCATATACTTAATCTAATTGTGCAAGATGATTTGAAAGAAAATGGTCCTTTGATCAAAAGGGTGAGACAAATGGTGAAATATGTTAGATCATTTTCTTCAAGGACAAGAAACTTCTTGAAATGTGTTGAAATGCAAAAGATAGAATGTGATTAGATGTTGTCTTTAAATGTGCCTACTAGGTGGAATTTCACCTATTTGATGTTAGACACAGTAGAAAAGTTTGAGAAAGCTTTTGAGAGGTTTGATCTTTATGATAGTAATTTTAATTCTTTTCTTGCTACTGATGTTTGTGAAGATGAAAGTATCGCAGGTTCAATTCAATATGAAGATTGGGCTAATGTGAGCAATGTCATAAAGTTTTTCGAAAAATTTTATGAGCTCACTTTGAAAGTTTCAAGTTCACGATATGTTACTTGTAATATTCATTTTGAAGATATATGTGAACTTGATGCTTATTTGAAATTATGTATGGATAGTGATGACCTTGATTTGAGTAAAATGGCTTCGGAATTGATAGAAGAATTCAAGAATTATTGCGGTACTCCTGAAAAAATGAACAAAATAATTTTTATTGTTTTTGTTTTGGATCCTCGTAATAAATTTGTGTATGTTAATTTTTCTCTTGAAGAATTACTTGGGGAAGAAATGGGAAATGTAGTGAATACGAAAGTAAAAGCTTACTTGAGGGATTTGTTTGCGATATATGTACGTAAGTATGGAAAGGTTCCAAAAGTCAATTATCTTCATCTGACTCATCTGGTTCTTTTGCTTGTGGTATTTCTCAAAATGTGTCCAAAAATTCTTTGAGAACTAAGTTGCACATGAAGAAATAAAAGCAAGATTCTGGAAGTTTAGGTGTTAAATCTGAGTTGGATAAATATCTTCTTGAAGACCAAGAGCCCGAATCTGGAGATTTTGATATTTTGAGTTGGTAAAAAATTAATTCCCCTAGATTTTCTGTACTTTCACAGTTGGCTCGAGATGTATTGGCTATTCCTATGTCGAGAGTGGCATCGGGATGTGCATTTAGCACGGTGATCGTATTCAAGATCCCTTTAGAAGTTCATTGACTCTCAAATGTGTGCAATGTCTTATTTGTGTCCAAAATTGACTTAGACAAGAAACCAAGCCTATTTGTGTTGAAGAAAGTTTGGAGTTTCTTGAAAAAATTGAACTTGGTAAGACTTTTTATTTTTTATTTATTTTTGGAAAAAATAAAATACTTATTGTGTTGTATCTTGTATGACATGTTTCTTTTTCTTATTTATAGAGATGACAAATAGTGGAAGAAACTCTTCCATTGTTGATCTATGATTGACTTGCAAGCGGTGAGTTTAATACATCATTTATTTAATCATATTATTTTTTAATCTTAAAAGTAGTATTCTAATATTTAATTTATCTTAAAACTTTAAAAGGTCCAAGAGTCAAGACAATGAAGAAATAATTTTGTTGGCACGTGACACTTAAAAATTGAAAGCTGTCTCATGGAAGAAAGTCAAGAAACTCATTATTGTTGTTTGTTTTTGTTGACATTTGAATTGAAAGTAATCTCATGGAAGAAGACAAGAAGTTTAAAATACATTGTTTGTTGCTCATTATTGTTTATTATGAACTCATGAAAGACTTTATTGTTACTTGATAAATTGTTATTATGTTGTATTTGTGAAAACATTAATTACAAATCTACAATGCAACTTTTGTTTTAGTGTCATTATTAATTAAAAATTGTGTGTTTCAGTGACATTGTGAATTTAAAATTTGTGCTGTTAATGCCTAATGACATATTAACATATTGATATTTGGTAGTAAATTAGTAATGTACTTCTTTGATGTATTGTCTATTTTTACTTTTTAGCCCATTAAGTTGAAAAATCAAACAAAAAAATAGTAAAGTTTAAAATTTTAAAGAGCCCACTAAGCAGGCCAATTAAAAAACCGAAATAAAAAATCGAACCGAATTAATAAAAACTGCACTGAATCAAAATATTTCGATTAGGTATTCAGTACACATTTTACAAAAACTAAAAATCAAAAAAACTGAAATCGAACCAAAATACCGAATGTCCACCCCTAGCCAGGAATGAAGCAAAATCAGAAGTGTAATTAGCATTAGCATATACCTCTCTATGGTTCTCATCTGGCAACAATAATGAATAAGCATGATCCATGTTTGGCAGAGGATTCATCATCAAAATGTTTCCTCTTGCTTGGGCAAATGCATCATTCAGCCCCATAAAAAAATGAATTAGTCTTTGATCTTCTTGCGATTTTTCTAGCTTAGTTTTCCCTTCACATGTACACATACATGTGCAACATACATTCAAATTCAGTGAGTCTAGCTCATCCCACAACTGTTTTAGTTTTGTGAAGTAACCAACTACATTACTATTTCCTTGAACTAATCCTGTAAGTTCTTTTTGCAGGTGGTATAATTTAGCCCCATTTGATCTTCCAAATCTGTGCTTAAAGCTCTCCCAAATTTATTTGGCTGTTTTGGTGTATATAACACTATCTCCAATATCTTTTGCCAAGGAGTTTAGTAGCCAAGAGATTTTCATGTCATTGCAACATGCTCATTGTTCATACTTAGCATCATTCATATCTGGGACTTTGCAAGAGTCATTGATAAATCCAAGCTTCTTCTTGGCTGATAATGCAATCAGTATAGACCTTCTCCAACCTGGGTAACCTTTTCCATCAAAAACAGCAGTGATTAGGGTCATTCCAAGAGAGTTAGAAGGATGACGGTAATATGGGTGATTGAAGTCAATGGTGCTTCCACTAGTTCGAGAATTTGAGACATTCACACTGGTGGCAGTGTTAATAGTGTTGCTGTCATTGTTTTCCATTACTATGGATGAATATTGAGTGATGCGAAAAGATCAGAATCGAGTCTATGCTCTGATACCATAAAGGAATTTTAACAAAAAGAAGCTTTGGGAAATTTTCTAGATGACATATTCAATCTCCAAACTCTGTATATGTACAAGAATTTTTCATGAAAATAAAATAATAAGAAATTAACTATTTATCCACTTGTCTTTAATTATTTGTACAATGTATAATAGAAAAATATTCCCCACATGTAAGTTACGTGAGTGAAGCTTCCTTGAACTTCTTATTTCTCCAGCTGTCCCTTGATCAAATGGACGAGATTGTTTATCAGGCAATTTGATCGAGGGTTGTGATCCTTCTACATCACTAAGAGACAAAGTCTTGATGAGCGTATGAAAACTTTTATCTCTTTTGTTTTTGTGTGAAAGACCTTTGTGATTCTCTTTGTCTTCTTCCTTTGTTCTATCTACATTACTTCGTTTATTTATGGAGGCTTATGATGGGTAAATGTCAATATTTATTTTATTGCATATATTCCACTATTTTATTAATTTATCCTCACGTAAATACACATTTACTTAATTAGTCAAATAAAGTCCTTTTTTTCTATTAATTAGTCAACACTCTACATTCAAATTGAAGTTCTTTTTATCAGTTTCACATTTCTAGGATTTTTTATTACGTATTTGACTAAGACACGTTTGATATCTTCTTTTTCTTGACAAATGGTCCCAATTGAATTTTGTCAAACTAAACGTGTGATACTTTTTTTGACTACTTGTTTAACATTTCAAATTTGGCAGTCGGTGGCCATTATTTGTGTCATTTACATGTTTGGGGATGGGTGGTACCTTACTTTTCATTTGTGGGTTGCATGTGATGTGCAATGGAAAACCTTTTTTGGTTTCTTCTTCAATCATTAGGGAGGGATTAACTTTATCACACTATTTTCTATTGAGGTAAATTAAAACAGAAATGAAAAAAAATATCAGTTAAGAAAAATATGATAATTAAAAAAAAAATGTTTATACAAAGAACCATAACATCAACAACAACGTACAATCACCTAAACATACTGAGTAACAGATGATTACAGATATCAAAAGTCAAAAATTACATGAATAGATGTATTTAATAAACAACATATGACTATAAATATCAAAAGTCAAAGATTACATGAATAGATTAATGCCCCGAGTAAAAATAATCATATTAAACTTGTGGTAATTCAACAAGTTTCTCAGTAGGTTAGTCGAATGTAAAGAGTTGGACCTAACAAAATTGGGAAGGTGGAAATAGGTATTCTTTAGGTACATTTTGATGACTATTGAAGTGTTTAATAATAGGTTTAAGGGGCCATTTTGGTGTATCAAAATGAAAATTAGTGTTAAAGTTGATGTATTATTTGGCCTTAATGATATCAATTATTAGTAACTCATGTCTTTATTATGTCACTAACTTGTTCATATCATTTTTAATTTACAATATCTTTTAGATTACATACGAAACCACCTTTTTCTTTCTTATTGGAGGCTGAGACAGCGTTCACCAACTATGTCTACTACCTTTAGACTTTCCCTAATTCTTTCACATATGTTCGATACTGTATTAAAGTTCGACTAAATCTAAATTTGTATCGAGAAAGCCTACATTAAATGTAAATACTACTTAACCATTTGTACACCTCTTTTTATTTTACAAAATTTATCAAATGGAGTCCCTTTCTCCTATGATAAGTCCTCCAGGTTCTTCTTCCCATGCTGGCTTCCCAATTGTAGTCATCGCAATCATCGGTATCGTGGCTACTGGTTTATTGCTAGTTAGTTACTACATTTTTGTTATCAAATGTTGTTTGAATTGGCACAGAATTGATCTTTTGAGACGATTTTCTTTCTCTAGAAGGCAGAGTGTAGTAGACCGCTCAACGGTTTACTCCCCTGTACTGGAAAATCGGGGACTAGAGGAATCTGTGATTCAATCAATCCCGATTTTCCAGTACAAGAAAGGGGAAGGAAAAGATGCAATCATTGAGGAGAGAACAAGAAGTTCATGTGAATGTGCTGTTTGTTTGAATGATTTTCAAGATAATGAGAAGCTTAGAATAATTCCAAGCTGTGCTCATATCTTCCATATTGATTGTATTGATGTTTGGCTTCAAAAAAATGCAAATTGTCCACTTTGCAGAACCAACATCTCATTGACTAAAATCCCTTGTGATGTTGTCATAGAAATAGCAGAAAACAATCCAACATTATCCGGGGATAGAACTAATGGTTCAAGTTTTTCAACAAATTTGATCTCAAGCATGGGGGATGAGTGCATTGATATAAGAAAAAAAGACGAAGATTTCGCAGTCCAACACATTAGGAGATCATTCTCTATGGATTCAGCTACTGATAGACAACTTTATTTGACAGTTCAACAGATTGTACAGCAGCAAAGACAAGTTTCTGATGTTAGTTCTTGTGAAGAAAGTAGTGCCAGAGTCATCAAAAGATCATTTTTCTCTTTTGGGCATGGAAGGGGTTCAAGAAATGCAGTTCTACCACTTCATTGGGAGCCATAGTTACGTTGAAAAGGGCAGCTCGTTACACTAAATTCCCATTGTGCGCGAGGTACAAGCTAGTGTTATACAACATTTCGTCTTTTTACATGATCCTATAGACCTTGTAAGCGGTTATTTTCATAGCTTGAATCAGGTTACAAGTATACAGTTGAATTAAGACTGATCCCTTTCATTTAGTTTCATATTTAAGTATTCAGTTGGTATAGAATATTGAGTTAAATAGATCTTTTTAGAGATTATAGAAGGATAATTGTAGGTATTGAAAAAAGGAAAGTGATAAAAGTGGAAGCTAATTAAAGGTTTCTTAGCACTTACCTAGCTAGGGTGTGTTAGTTACTTAAGAAAAAGACATTCAAATTTGGCATTAGCTCACTAATAAACAATTTGAACTTTGAAAGTGCATACACATCTACACATCTTAACTTGTTTCAACTGATAACAAAACACTCCATCTTGTTCCCACTATGTCTCTTGGATGCCTTACACTAACGTGATTCGTAAATTTTGAAAGTGTTTATATGACATTTGTAAATTGAAGTGTTCATCTAACACAATAGAAATAAGTTAGATAAACATATGCAAAATTTGAGGCGTTTACTTGCACAGTTGAGGACAATTAAAATGTCTGTTCTTTACATTTTGTGTGTTTCCAGCCCACCATATTTGATTAAATTGTTGGATTGTTCATATTGTATTATAAGATTAGAGACCAGAGGGCAGGACCACTAAAGCAATATGATTTAATCATCATTGCTTTAAGAACCTTAAGACATTTCATTTATATCTTTTGGTCTTGAGTATTTTGTTTATATTATACTAAGGTCCTATTACTCTCTAAATTTATTTTATAAGTAATTTTCTACCCTTTTTTGACTTAGGTGGTACTAGCTTGAAAAAAAAAGTCAAACAACATTAAGCCCACAAGATAGTGCCACGTAGGCCGAAAAGAGGTAGAAAATTATTAATAAAATAAATTCAGAATTAATAGGACCTTAATATAGTATTAATGTGTCTCCGAGATTTCAGGCATAGATTGAGGGTAGTATACTTTTAATTAATTTCTTAATCACAAGCTCCAACTGATCTTCAGTTTAGCAAGACAGATCATTTAAGCAATCAATTGCAATTTTGAAATTTTTTGAAGAAAGTCTCAAAAGTTGTTCAAACTCTAAAACTCGTGGTTGACGTATGTATTATTCCTTATTTTGTTCATTGGAGCATGTAGAACTAGATCCTCAAATCAGAAACACTTAGATAAAAGTCCGATGCACAAAGTATGTTATTTACCTGTAGTATATATCCCAAGTGATGTTATGTGGACTATGTATCCTAATGTTTAATGCAAGTACTAATGGACTGTATCTGTGACTTAAACAACTTTACTGTTACTCCAAAACTCCTATCAATTTCCTGTAATATATGTGAAATATGAGTTTGACTATCATTAGAAGTAATCTGACTTACTATAATTAGAGGATTTGGTAAGAGAGGACTCCCTATAAATATTTCCAACCATTTGTAATTTAATTCATCATACAAGAATTTGATATTTCAATTTCTCAGTCACCAATTAAAACATAAATAACTTTTTTTTTATAAAATTATTAAAAATCGTTAATTCAGTATCAATAAACTATTAATACTTCTTTCGATTTCATTTATCAATCGGTTTAATTTTTCACACGCCTACTAATACTAACCACTAGTCCACTATTAAAAAAACGTGAAATGGTGATACCATCAGAAATATTAGATTTTTGTCAAGTTTTGGACGAGCCAATTTTCATTTTTATCTAATCTTTAGGATATGAATAACTCCAAAATATAATAAATGGTAAATTTGGACCTTATCCTTCAATTGATGCTAAAATTGGCAATAAGTCCAATAATTTCTATTCCTATTTTTGTTGTGTTTTAGGGTTGTGATGCATCCATATTATTGGATAAGAATTGTGCATTTAAAAGGGAAAAGGATGCTGGACCAAATAAGAATTCTGTGATGGGATTTGAATTAATTGATGAGATCAAATATAATTAGAACAAGTTTGTCCTCGTATTTTGTTGTAATGATGTTTTAGCCTTTGTTGTTCGTGACTACGTAGTCATAATAAGAATATATTTAAACTCCCAACATATCTTTATCATTTCGTCTTTTAAATAGATGCAGTGCGTGAAAATGATTTCAACAGCTTGAACTATTAAAAAATATTAATATATATGTGCATACAGTTTGATCCTTAAAAGTAAAAATCTAAGCAATATGTGCATGTATTGGATCCTCCAACGCCTAGTAGTGCATATTTGAGAAGTTTTGACAATATATGTGTAAACATTCTTTAAAAAGTAATGCCTTTTTTTAAGAGAATCTTATACATATGTGACAACATTTTTTAAAAGTCTAACAATACATTTCATATAAAGTAATACATTTTTTCACATAAATGAATATTTTTAGTATTAAAACAAAAGTTTTACAAAGATTTATGGTCACATTTAAGCAATTGAATTCTACCTCGATAACAACAGAAGTAACATACTACTAGTAGATAAATACTAGTCAATTTAAGATTTTTGCTAATAAGAAATGTGTGAATTGATTACTCCTTCTGTTTCAAAAAAGTTATGGTAAAAATAAAAAATACTAATCCTCTTAATTGAATTGAAGGATGAAATTAGAAAAATTGTCGCAGAGTTAACTAAATTATTTAATTCTTTACCAAGTATTTGTCTACTAAATATGTATTTATAAGTTGAAGGGTGAAATAAGAAAGAATTAGAATTAATGGTTTATGTTGACTAAGTTTTTGAAGCTAAAGCCTCCTATGTTTCTTGGTTCTGAAAATAAGGATGCTTATTAGTTTATTATAGATTGTTATGAGAAGCTTCATAAGTTGGAATTGTCCATCAACATGGAATAGAGTTTGTGACTTTTCAACTTCAAAGTAAGGCTAAACAGTTGTGGAGAGTTTACGTGGAATGCAGATCTTCAGCTTTATCCCACTCACTTGGACTTAGTTTCATGCTCTATTCTTGAAAAAATATGTACCCGTAATTTGAGGGATCGTAATAAGAATGAGTTCATCGCTTTGGAGCAAGTTGGTATGATTGTGGTTGTTTATGAGTCTAAGTTTCATTCAAAATTGAATTTTCTCTTTCTCTTTTATTTTGTTAGTTTACTCTTATTAAATTAACATGAACATCAAAGCTAAATATGTAGTTTGATTTCAAATAATGAAGTACTCCATCTGTCCCTATTTAATTGTCCACTTTATAAAAGACACACATATTAACATAACAATAATTAACATAGTGAAGTTACAATCTTACCCTTATTAAATATGGTTTCAAAAAAGATGAATTAAAACTATGAATTTTCAAGAAGTTTAAATGAGATATAATAGGGAAAAAAATTGTCCCTTCTTTATTTGTCAAAATATGGACAAGTAAATAAAGACATTTAAAAGAGAAAATATGGACAAATAAATAAAGACATCTAAAAGAGAACATATGAACAAGTAAATAGGGAAAGAGGAAGTATAATTTTTAATTAAAAATAGTAATTATTTACGTTGTTCGATTTACAAAATTTTAGTACACTCATTCATTTTTTTTCTCTCTACACAATTCTTGAACACCAAATTTCTGACTCAACCAATGATCATTGGCCTATAATTAACCCTCAAATTATTTTATAATCGTCAAGTCTTCACTAACCACCAAAATGTTATCTCTCAAGTCCAAGAGGGACTACGTTGCAATACAGTAATTAAATTGTGTCATTTAATCCACGTTCATAAATTAATTACTTGCTCTGTTCATATTTTCTTTTATACTTGTCTCTATTTACTTGTCCATTTTAACAAATCAAGAAAGGACAATAATTTTTTTCTAATATGCTCTTATTTAATTCTAGAAAATTTCTATTACTATTAAGTTGTAATGCATGCTGTTTGAAACTAGAAAATACATTTATTATTCTTGGGAGTTGTATCATCTTTTAAGTTAAAGGGTAAAATTGTAACTAAAACCTATGATAATAATTAATGTCTTAATATATGTGCCACTTATAAAGTGGACAACTAAATAGAGACAGAAATAGTATTAAAATAATGTAATAATTCAAGTACTAGCGATGGTATAATGTAACAGAAATCAGGGGACAAAAATTACTAGAGAAATAATACTACTACTATTAAATGAAGGATAACCAAGACAACACCCTGCTTCTAACAGCTTACTGTAATTTGTGTCATCCACGACCTCATATCTAAGGTCATGCACGACAGATACTATTAATGAAATATTACTTGCATCTGATGTGAATTTCTACTTCCTTAGGGTCTTCACTCTTCAATGCATGTTCATTGTCTACTTGAGACTTCACTTTGTATAGTAAACTCTTACACTTCAAAAGGCCATAATGAGTAGAATTCAAATCAAAATAACAGTAGACACACGTGTATGTCTTAATTCAGTACAATATAACTGATTGTAGGATCAAACAGTTACTGACTAACAAATGTTTCATATCGTAAAATCTGACAAAGCAGATTTCCCTCCTATCCCTGTTGCATCATAATGATCTGCATAGTCCTTCACACTAGTTTCCCGATACCTCGCGGGGTTATCTTCTGATAACAACTCCTTAATTGGTCCATAAACTCTTGATGATAACGAATTACCCGTGGTAAAGAAACTAGCCACCAATACTCTTGGGCCAACACGGCTTGCCAGTACTCTGTGTGCAATGCTCTTCAACTTATCATTTGATATGAGCTGCAAATTTTCCAACAGAACTGAGTTTAGCACATTTCGAATTCAAATCTAAAAATATCCCAATTCTTGAATCATTTCTAAGAAACCTGCCACAAGAGCACCACAACCACCACCGCCAACAACAACAAAAACATTGTAATGGCCATAATTGGGTCTGGAGAGGATAGAGTATATGTGAACAACGAACTTTACTCTTATCTTGGGAGGTAGAAATATTGTTTCTGATAAACCCTTGCCTCAATGAAGTATGATATATGAGTTTATGCCACAAGATGAATAACAAAGATAATTAGCTCAATGTAATCCCACAAGTGGAGTCTGAGGAGAATAGAGTCTATGCAGAGCTTACCCCTAACTCAACTCAATGAAAAGCACGATATGCTTTCTATATGAATTTATGCCACAATAACAAGAACAATAATAAACGCAACGTTATCCCACAAGTGAGGTCAGAACAGTATTTATACAGACCTTACCCCTACCTTGAGAGCTTGAGAGGTAGAAAGGTTGTTTCCAATTAATCCTCGGCTCAATAAAAAGCATGACATATGAGTTTATGCCAAATACAATTACCTGTAAAAGTTCACCAACATTTATTACTAGTGCACCAGAGACAGTAGGAATATCAACCCAACAATCCTTATGAAGAACTTGAAGGCCTCCTAAATGATCTTGTAGCAGCACTGTAAGGAAGTCACTGTCTGAATGCTTGCCAGCTCCAAGAGTTAGCTCTGGTTCAGGGCATGCTGGATAACAATGACACAAAACCGCAAGCCCCTCTGAACAACCAATGTCATTCAGATAGCTCGAGTTGACAAACCAAATAAACCATGCACTTGAATTCACATGTTACATCTTAGTCAAAAGTAAACACTTTTACATTGTTGAATAACCAAGTGTTAAAGACAACCAAAAATAGAAGTAGGAAATCAAACTCTAAGTCGAGGACTTTCTATACAAAATGGTATAAATATAATTATTTAATTTAGTATCGGATTATCGGTTAACCAGTTAAGAAAAAACTTCAAACCGTTAAGAAATGATAATCCGATAACAAAAAAAATCAAAACTGTTATTAAAACCACTAAACCAATAACTCAATACTATAAACCAATAACTTTTTTATCGGTTCGGCTTATCGATTTCGGTTCGATTTTGAACAGCCCTAGTATACACCCTCCGTCTTATTCTATGAGTTTAAGAAATAACAAAGATTTTGAAATGTTTATCAAATTGTTCTTTTGAAAAAATAAATTTACTTTTCTCTCCTTATAAATATATTAGAGTAATATGTTTAAAATTAAGTGGGACCAATAAATATAAAAGTAGAACTATACTTTTAAATACTTATTATATAAAAAATGTGACATTATTTTTTAGTGACCAAAAATAAAATGATGTAATATAAAATGAAACGAAAAGTATAAAATATTATATAAAGTAAAAGCATGGGGTCTCTTTCTTAGGTGGATGTGTTGGACTATACAAATTTGTTCAAACGTTTAAACTTGTCTTTCATGAATATAATATTCGATTATATGGGCAATATTCAATTACTCTGTGTATATTGGGGATTTAAACCAAACTAAGTTATTATTTAAACTAATTCACCAAAATAATATGTTTTAATTTTTTTTATAAAACTAGTATAAATGTATTTCTGAGTAACGTTTTAGGGTATTTTTATTTTTAAAATTCAACGGACAAAAATTGACGGAGCTGACGACGCTAAATGAATAAACGTACTCCTGAGTAACGTTTTACACCTAAAACGTTAGTCAGAAGTACATTTATTGAGAATCCAATCACGATCCACTAAATTCAATCTTGCAAATGTAGAGTCAAATCCTGCAGATTTAAAACGTTACAATGAATAACATTTTACACCTAAAACGTTATTTAGGATAATGTTACTTGTTAATCTTTTGCAATGATGTCGTTAGTGTATAAATTTTCCCTTCAAGTGAGTTTTCTAGTGTGAATAATAAGCATTGTGCTCCTATTTTTTGTCAAGTACACAACTAATACAAGATTAGAGAAAGATTGATACCTCCCAATGGTTATAATACGATAAAATTTACAAACTATATGAATGATCAAATAACCAAATAGATAATTACAAAAATTGCAAAATTTATATCTTTTTGCTGATTAGAGGTGGTGGAAGTATAACCCCCCATCTTAGCAAAATTGCTTTCCATAACCACTGGAAAACACAAACCAAGTACAAAATAATTGAAATATGCATGATGTGTTGCTACTGTTCTTATTGATAATTAAAAAGTTTTCTGAGTAATAAAACATGTTGCTACTGGACAACAGTTCTTATAATTGAGACATTAACACAAAATGCAAAGGGACTACAACTTGTAGCTACTCATCTCATCTCATCCACATCCATAAAATCTTATACCACAAATCGCAACATAAAACTCATCTCATACCATAAATATATTTAGTTACATGAAATCTTATAGCACCTGCGTAGAGTACATCATTTACTGAACATATGTTTGAATATTGCTAAGACGGGGGGTTATACTTCCATCTCTAATCAGCTAAACACATAAAGATGGGGGGTTTTAGGTGTAAAACGTTAAGTAACGTTTTAAATTTCCAGGATTTAAGTCTGCATTTGCAAGATTGGATACAGTGGCCCGTAAATGGATTCTCAATAAACGTGCTCCTGAGTAACGTTTTAAGTGTAAAACGTTATTCAGGAGTACGTTTATTCATTTAACGTCGTCAACTCCGTCATTTTCTATCCGTTGAATTTTTAAAATAAAAACACCCTAAAACGTTACTCAGAAATACGTTTATACTAGTTTTGTAAAAAAATTAAAAACATATTATTTTGGTGAATTGATTTAAATAATGGCTTAGTTTGGTAAAGATTCGTGTATATTGAGCCCATGAGGTCATAGATAACGTGAAACTTATAGGATGTGTTTGGAGGTGTAAAGGAACAAAAGTGATATATGCGGTACAACATATACTTTTTTTCGTTTGATAGAGTGAAAGTAATGTGTGCAGTTCGTTTCGCAGAGAATGACCTAATTTATTTGATACAGCGTTTAAGAGTATAAAGAAGAATTTTGAATTTTATGATCTTAAATTAAAGTTAAGTTAAATATACAAAATTATTCTTTGTTCTTGTGACTTTAAACTTGCCACGTGAAAAATTATTATAAAAAATGAAACAAACCATTCTTTTTTAAACAGACTGAAAAATAAAAGAGATCATCTTTTTGAAACAGAGGGAGTATAGTATTCTATTTCAAAAGTGATATATGTTGGGATTATTTAGTATTTGACTGTTTGATTGGTTGTTTTTAATATAATATGCATTAAATAAATTCTAAAAATAAGTTATTTGTTTGTAAAATTATCCTTCATTTTTTATTTTTCTTATATATTCTTTTCGAGTTTTAATTATTTATTCTTAAAAATAAATTTTTTATCTTATTTAGTTTAAAAAAATTTTGTGTTTACATTTTCATAATTGTACCAAATGTATTTAAGAACAAATTTTCATCCAAAATTTATCAAAATACAAAGTATTCATGCCACTTTATTTAAACAAATATATCATTCTTAAATCGTAAAATACTAAAGTTATCTTCATTTTAAAATCATATTCATGTTACTGTTTCCATCAAAATTTATGTAAACAAACAATAGAATTCTTCCTCAAATTAGCGTACATGAGATGAAAAGAAGACAAAAAAAAAAAAACATACACAAAAGATCAGTATCGTAGCATTTTCGTTTTATCTTTCATTTTATTTGATATATAAAATATAATTTTTCAAGTGGCTAAAAGAATATATAATTAAAAATATGCAATTATATAGTAAGAAATTAAATTAAAATAAAAATAAAATGAAAATTAATCAAATAAATTCATAAATTAAATTTTATTTATATAGTGTAATATTTTAATGAAAAATATGAAGAATTATTATATTAAAGTAAGGAATAGTGAAGTTATTAATATTATTATCAGTGATATTAAAAATAATATACGATTATACATGAATATAAAAAAGTATAAATATAAGGAATCCCATAGTGTAATTCAATAATTACATTCTGTCCCGATAAGTTTACTAATTACAAAAAATCCCTTAAATTTGTTGAGCCGTGATACTTTAGACTGTAGTGATACATGGTAATTTAAAACTGTTAAGAAAAAATAGGGGAGAAAAACGGTAAAGTTAATGTTGTTACTAAAACAGCTTAATTTGTGGTAATAGATCATTAATTTGCATTAAATCAGCACTTAATTGGATATTAATTTTAAAATTTGAAAATCAAATATTATATCATTTATTTTGAATATGCTATTCAATTTACCTAAATATCAAAGATTATATCATCTGGACGACCAAGAAAAAAAAGAAGAAAGAATGCAAATGAAAAGATTTTGAACACAAACTGTTGTGGACAATGTGGACAAGAAGGGCACAACAGAAGAACTTGTACTTTCTACCCAAAAGAGAAGTGAATTAGTAGTAATGTTTCTATGATATCAAGAATAATTTATAACGTAAACATTTTATTGAATTTCAGTTTTCATTACAACTGCAAATTGAACACTTTGTGTTTAGAT